AGAAGAAACTTTTAAAAATTATAAGAGACTGCTTTGCAGTTATAGGGGCAAAGACCCAGGTTCCCTTCCAGCCTCTCTAAAGATTTGCTGAAATGACTGACAGTAGACAGATTAATAGGAGAAAAAGGCACACAGATTTGTTTGATGTGTATAGCATGGGGAATCACAGGAGAATGATTACCCAATAACACAGTGAAATCCAGATGCTTATACACCCTTCCTCAAGCAGGGGAAGCGGTGGGTGGGGGTGCCTAGGAGTAAATGATTTTCAGGGGAAATGAATGAGCCCAGAGAAAGAGGTTCTGAGACAAAGTCCTCCTGAGCTCTTGGGGGAGGTGGCAATAAGGTGAGCCCCAGAGTTCCACTGTGAACAAAGGTCATCCTCCTATGCAGATAAAGCCTCCCAGGTAATCTCTCTAAACCACCTTCAGCAGAATAGATGGAAAGTCTTTCTGGGCATGGTGATGACTCCCAGTCTCTTCTCTGGTTAATCTCTGGTTAATCTTTCCACGTTGTTTGCTGAGATTCCTAGAAAGGGAGTCTTAAGGTAATTGCATTTCTTTTGGAATGAAGCTTCCCCAGTCAGACAAGGAAATCCCGGAGTCTCTCCCCAGTCCCTGTGCTTTGGAAAAGAAAGGGAATTAGAGAGACTGGGGTAGGGTAAAATCAGGGAGAGACCTGGGTTCTGAAGCTTATTCCTGAGGCCTTCTAATTTCTTTTAATTCAAAGCACTCAATATGCGAAAGTGCCCAATTTTGGGGTACTTTTTTTGAGCCCCAACATAGTCATCTATGCATGTAAATTTGAAAACATAGGTGAAATGAATATTTTTCTAGGAAAACACAGATTACCAAAATTGACTGATTTAAAACACTTAAGTAGTTCAATTTCCATGTAAGAAAGACAAAGTTATTGAGGGACTACCCCATGACAAAACACCATGCTCAGGCTGTTTCTTAGAGGAATTCTACCAAACCTTCAAGGACCAGTACTCTATAAATTATTCCAGAGCATTAAAAGGGAATGAAATCCTCCTAGATCCTTTTATGAAGCATATATAACATTGATACCTAAACCAGATAAAGACAATACGAAGAAAGAACACCACTAAGACCAATATAATTCATGCATATTGAGGCAAAAATACCAAGTAAAATATCAGCAAACAGAATCCAAAATCTCAATAAGAAGGTAATATACCACAACCAAGTAGGATTTAGTCCAGGAATAATGCGAGGTTGGTTTAATGCTAGGAAATCCATTAATATTATATACTATATTAATAGATCTAACAAAAATTATAAGATTATCTCCACTGATGCTGAAAAAACCTTTGAAAAAATTTAGCACACATTTACAATATAAAATAATCAAGAAAGTAGAAATTAAGGGATATTTTTAAATGACTGTGTGTGTGCATGTAAAAGTTATAAAGGAAATATTTATAGCATCCTACTCCTCGTGTGAGACGGAAGGGGATGTGAGAAAATATGTCTATTCATTTATACAGAAGAAACATGGAAAGGATAAGCTAGAAACGAAAGAGAACGTTACCTTCAAGGCGGGGGAAGGGGTGGGAGGAAGGAAGGAGTGGGGGCAAGGGAGGAGGAGGAGGAGGCAGCCGCACTTCTCCCAGTGCATCTTTACTGCTGGTCCTGGCTCTGGGCAGTGTTTCCACACCTCCCAAGAGAAATAAGCAATCTCTTTCGCCGCGGCTCCCAAAATGGAATGCAAACAGTAACAACTAAAGCTAACCACACCGCAAGTGAGCGATGTAACCACACTGAAGAGAGGGGAGAAAAGGCTAAGCTACCCAAGGGTGAGAAACAGCGTTTTGACCGGATACTGTCATAAGGCGAAAGACAAATGACTATACTGTACTTGTATTCGTACAGGGCTGCGCATTGGGAATCCTGCAGGTCTGTATGTGTGCATTAGGACTAAACAAATAGGTAAATGTATTACAGATAATTAGGGTCAGATTTTTCACTGTGTGAGGAAGAAGTTATAAAGAAGGAAGTAGAGATGTCTGAATTACGTTTAACAGAATTGGAGGTATCAGTATATTAAAACTCACGGCTTCCTATGTGTATAGATATAGAAATACATGCGTGCATGTATGCAAGGGCAAACATACATGTATTGCCCAGCTCTGGGCCCGCGAGCAGTATTACTCTGTAGCTGTGAGCACACGTAGGGCCCAGATGTTGGTTTCTAAACACCGTTCTCCAGTAAAAGAAGGCTCCAGGCTCCTTGGAGAAGCAGTTGATTCCAGTACTAGGGCAGGACAGGATGAAGCTGGATATTTTTGTGGTACCAAAAAAATAAGTAAGTACTCAGAAAAAAGGCAGAGGCATGTCAACAAAGACATAGGAATCAACCCAAACGAACTGCCAATGGCCAAAACTGGAACAATTTGAGCAGCAGAATAATGACGGTATTGGATTATGACCCATAGAATAAATACCCAGGAGTCCAAACTGATATCAATAAATAATTGAATAAATAATAACTGGGGTGAAGGGACAGCTATTCCTTACAGAAGAATTCCAATTAATAAATATAGAAGGAATGAGGGAAATACCAAATCATCATCAGGCAAACACCATTGTAATAAAAGCCACAGGCAAGATCCACAAATGGGTGCTAACATCAGTGGGCAAGAGTTTAAATAGAAACAGGATATTTCCATAATCTCAATATATTCCCCCTCCAAGATATTTAACAATTAGAAAGAGAAAAAGAGTAACTTTACAGTGGAGAAAGCTGGCAGACACCAGCTTAATCTTAACCTTAAGTGATTAAGGTGAACATCTGACACAGACCCCCCCATCCGATACTCTGAGAAGGACACAACATCCTTCTGTGGGATCTTGCCAAAAAAGCAAAAACGAAAATGCACAGTCTCAGTATAATCAGGAGAAGACATCAGACAAGCCCATATTAAGAGACATTCTGCAAAATAACAGCCAGCACTCTTCAAAAATGACGAGTTTGTGAAGGACAAGTTAGGCCTGGGGAGCTGTCACAGGCTGGAGAAGACCGGAGAGATACGGCCGTTAAGTGCATGCGGCGCTCTGAATGCAGTGTTGGAACAGAAAGAAAAAAGGTCAAAAGGAGAAAACTGGTAGAAAATGAATAAGATTTGTGGCTTAATTAATGGTATTGTACCAATGTTAGTTTCCCAGTTATTAAATATTGAATGAGCGCCACTAAAATCAGAAACAAAGCAAGGATGTACGCTCTTTTCTTTGCTGTATGGTACTGGAGTTCCTAGAGAGTGCAGTAAGGTAAGGAAAATAAGAAGCATTACCATTGAAAGGAAGAATATAAACTGTCTTTATCAATAAACAACGTGATTGACTAAGTCAAAAATCCTAAGGAACCTGCAAACAAGTAATAACTGAATTTAGTAAGATCATGGGATAAAGGACAGTAAACAAAATCTATTATATTTCTTTCAATGTTTGCAACAAACAATTGGAAAATTTTAAACTTCTGCTCTTCACAAGACACCATTTAGAAAACGAAAAGGCAAGCCACAGGCTGGGAGAAAATATCCATAACATCCCTTTGATAAAGGATTTATATCCCAAATATATAAAGAACTCTCACAGCCCAGTGAAAAGGAAATGACCCAATAAAAAATGGACAAAGGACTCGAGCTGTCACTTCGTGAAAGAAGATCTGTGAGTGAACGGTAAATACATGAGGACACTCAACGCTATCAGGCACCAGCGAAACGTGAATGGAATCCACAACGATACAACACCTCACACCCGCCGCAGTGACTGAGTTTGAAAGACTGGCGGTACCGACTGCTGGCGAGGGCGTGGAGCCACTGGAAATCGCAGACGTTGCTGGGAAAACCGTACAATGGCACAGCTACTTTGGAAATCAGTTTGGCATTTCTTAGAAAGTTAGACATATGACCGCCTCATGACCCGGCTATTCCACTTCGAGGTAGAACAGACAAAACTCATCTGAGGTGAAAAAAAATCCACTGATTATTGCCCAGGGTGACCTCGGAGAACGAGACAGACAGACTTCAGAGGGGCCCGAGGCGGTGAAGGCAAAGTTCAATGCCATGATTGCAGTGTGCTTATCTGGGTGTATACACTTGTTCAAAATTTACTGAATTATATACTTAAAATGGGTATTGTATACAAATTTTACTTTAATAAAGTTGCTCTTTAAAGTAAAAAGTCATCAGAGCTAATATTTTTTAAGCATTTATCCTTTTAAGTGCTTTCCATATTTTGTACCATCTCACTGAATTCTCATCAACCACCTTTTTAAGTAGGACTTTATTTATTATCCCCATTTTTCAGCTTAGGGAACAGAGACACGGATTGTAGTAAATAATGAAAGAACCAGGGTTTGAACCCAGGCCATCTGGCTACAGAGCCTATGCTCTTGACCACTGTGCTACAGGGCTGGAACATTAGGCATCTCTCCACTAACATTAAGAAAGTTCAATCCCGAGGACATGCTAACCAAGCCCTCTATTTGCAGCAGCCAAAGTGGGTGAGTATTGACCTGGGAAATGAGAGAAGAACCCAAAGGAAGAGGCGGTCTGGGTGGAACAGCATTTCTCCACGTCTGGACCCCTAACTACCTACATCAGAGCCACTGGACGCCTAGTCCTTGCTTCACCCTAAACAAACCGAATCAGAATCTCTGAGTGGGCATTTTAACAAGAAACCACACCCTGTTTCATGAGAATAGTAGAGACAGGTCTGTCCAGAGGGAGGTCCATGTGTCAGACCAACTTGGGTTGGAATCCTGCTCTTTCCAGACCCTTGCTTACCTGCCTATACCTCAATTTGCTCGTCTGCAAAATGGGCATCGGAATAGTGCCGGCCACTGGGGCAGCTAGGAGATTGAAGCGATTTGAGTGACAGGCACAGAGGAGGCACTCAGTAACCACTGGATTAAAATGGCAATGGAATGAGGGCCTGGACCCCACCCAGCAGCTTTCTCTCTCTCCTTCCCTCCAGGCCCCGGCCTGGCCTTTATTGCGTACCCCAAGGCTGTCACCATGATGCCTCTCTCCCCACTGTGGGCCACCTTGTTCTTCATGATGCTCATCTTCCTGGGGCTGGACAGCCAGGTAAGGGGCAGGGGACGGGGGAGCCCGGGTTGGGAGGGCAGCACCGACGGACACCACTCCTAGGGGCGGCTCCCCAAGCCTGGCCACGGCCCCTGGCCCCGGCGTCAGGGCCCGGACTGCCCCCTCCATTGCTCCCTGCTTTCCTCCCCCGCCACCCCGTCCACCAGGTGGGCTCCACAGACACAGCTGCTTGGAGCTCCCAAGGCTTCCCAGACAGTTTTCCTCGGTGGGAACTCCCAGTTCCAGTTTTGGAAAATGTGCTAGATACTTCCATGCTGCTAAACCACACCTGCCCGACAGCTCGCTGGCAAAGTGGGCTGTGGTTCACGGCCTCGGAGGGCCCCACAGCACACGTGCCCCTGTCCCAACCCAGTCCCTCAGCACGTGGGGACAGTAAAGCACTTCCTCTCCCGTCCTCCATCTCTGTGCTGGGGCCACCGTGACAGGCCCCTGCGGCCACTGGCCCCTCAGCAGCACCAGCTCTGCCCCCCACCTCCCCTGCCTGCCCCTGGCTCACCCCCCAGCAGCCTCCTTCCCCCGTGGAGGGCGCGGGCTGAGAACTGGCAGTCCCCTGTGTCTCCACGCGGTGCACGCGTGCTGAGCCCACCCCGCCGCTCCGAGCACTCTGCAGTCCTCTCCTTGGTTTCTCTGCCCCTACTGCCCCCGGGACCCCCATTGCCCCCTCAGTCCCCAGACCTGCCCCTGGCCCTGCAGCTCATCATCACTCGTTTCCCTACGAGCCCAGAGCATTTCTTCCGGCCAAAGCGGCGGCCCAGCCGTCAGACGGGGTCTCTGGCCAGTCAGCGCTGTGGTGGGAGGGGAGGTTCTGCAGGCGAGAGGACCCGCTTTAACAAGGCAGCACAGGCAGAGTAGGCAGGCCCTGGGCCCCCAGGTGACATGGTGAGACTCACCTGGCCAGGCCTGTGGGGACAGTGCCCAAGCGGGCCTGGCGAGGTGCCACCCCCACCCCTGACCTTGTGCAGACCCCACGGCGGCGGGTCTGTGAACCCAGCCACGTCCAATTTCTTCCCCTGAATGGCTTCCCAGAAGCTGCTGAGCCGAGCTGCTCAATCTGTGGCAGTTGCTGCTGATAATCTCCCTCTTACCGTTGCCGTCGCGGGCAGAGGCCGCGGGGCCGGCAGCTTGTGCGTGACAGGACAGGCCTGCCTGGCCAAGGGAGGCGGGGCTGGGGCCTCGGTGCACAGACGGGTCCCTAGCCTGGCACGGAGGGTGGGTGGCCGCTCTGCCCACCCCTACGCATGCCACACTTGCTGTGTGCCTGGGCCACGCTCTCAGTTCATCATCACAGTAACCACACGGGCTCGGGGCCCCTTTTGCGTCTGCACTGCACAGAGGGAGAAATGGGCTTGGAGACAGAGTGCCTTGCCGGGACGTGCACCCGGGCCTGTCTGCCTCGTAGCCTGAACCCTCCCATGTCTCTTCAGTTTCGAACCGGATCAGCAGCCTCCCTTGAGTCCCATCCCCTTCCTTCCCGGCCACCCCGGAGAAAGCACCAGCAAAGCAGCCTTCGCTGCAGAGGGAGGGCAGCCTGGGCTCTGGAGTCAGGGCAGGGTTTGAGTCCAAGGTCCACAACTCTTGCCAGCTTTGTGACTTTGGGACGGTCACTGCACCTCTCTCTGCTTCACCCCCTTTGTCTGCACAGTGAGGATGGAAATGCCTTTCCCGGGGAGGTGGAAGAGGCAGAAGTGAATCTCCCTGTGTGACCCTGGGCCAGCTGCGTGCTCCTCTGTGCTTCTGTGTCCTCATTTACAAAGTGGGGATGATAATAGTACGTGCCACGTGCAGAGTGAATAAGTTAGTATGTGTTAACTGCCTAGAACAGCCTGGCACATAGCCAGCACTGTTGCTTGCTGTTATCATCACTGCCATCATTATTGTCATTCATTTATGGAACATTTCCGGGTCTGTCCCCTGTGCCCCAGGCCCTGTGCTGGGCACTGGAAACGGATGGAAGTGATGTGGCCCCTGCCCTCGGGGCTCGGACTTGCTGTTAAGGAGACACACACAAGCCAGCGAGGCCCGTCGGGGTGAGATGCGTTCTCAGGGTGCAGAGGAGAAGGAGGGTCTGTTCTTTCTGAGTGGGGGGCAAGGAGGAGTGGTCAGGAAAAGGTTCATGCAGGAGATCTGCCCCCAGTCCCAGGAGAACCAGAGGAGGGGGTGGTTGGTGTGTCAGGATGTTTGGGCTGGGTGTTGACGGGTGGGTAGGAGTTGGGCAGACACCGTGTGTCTGGCTCTGTGCTCAGCGCCCAGGATGCAGGTGCTTAGGGGCTCAGACTCAGCCAGCACTGCCTGCACGGTTTGGCCGGAGCCCAGAGATTCACGGCAAAGACACGAGAGCTGGCTGTTGGCTCAGTTCTGGATGCCCTCCTCCCGGCAGAGAGGCGCCTGCCCACCAGAAGCCAAGGGCAGGGGATCATCACACCCCTGGAGGCCACAGGACTGAGCAGAGCCTGCCACCAGCAGAGCCATTCGCTCCCAGGGCTGTTACGGAGACTCCAGTCTTGCCCCACGGGCAGGGGCTGGGCTTCATTTGAATCGCTGAGCCCGGAACAGGGCAGCACATAGGCATGTGACAGCAGGGGGGAGAAGGAGGAGTACTAGATTTGGAGTCTGGAGACCCCATTTCAGTCCTGACTGCCACTTCCTTGCTGAGTGACCCTGGGCAGGTCACTTCCAGGGTCAGTGTCCTCCTCTGTTAAATGGACATGCTGGAGCTCTGTTAGTGCTGCGACTGCTGTTCTCAGACCCTCCGTCAGTGTGCGTGAGTGTGGGGTGCAGGCAAGGCCTGTGGGGAGGAAGCCCAGGGTCTAGCCCGCTGTGCTTGCCCAGCGCCAGGGCCACCAGGAACGGCCTTTTTCATGGGTTCCCCCCTCGTGTCTCCCCATCCAGTTTGTGTGCGTGGAAAGCCTCGTGACAGCCGTGGTTGACATGTACCCCAAGGTCTTCCGGAGGGGCTACCGGCGGGAGCTGCTCATCCTGGCCTTGTCGGTTGTCTCCTATTTTCTGGGCCTCGTGATGTTAACCGAGGTGAGTGGTGTGGGCCGTGCCGCACGAGGGTGAAGCGGGCGTTGGACAGCAACTCCCAGCTCTCAGGGTGACCAGCTGTGTGACCCTGGGCAGGTCTAGCGCCGTCTCTGCCACTCAGGGTCGTCCTCTTCCTAGTGGGTCGTTGTGGGAATCGAGCGGAGGTTCTCGTTACGCCCTTCGCACAAGGTCTTCGTGTGTAAGTGCGCAGCCGAAGGTCACTGCTGTTATTAACAGGGGGGACAGAACTCACTTCGTCTAGTAAGCATGAGCACGTGCCTGCCAGCCCATCCCCAAGAGTAACTCCTGGGTGCAGGGGACAGCGTCACCACCAGCCCCTGCACTTAGTTACCTATCATTGGTCTCACGTGCAAAGCAGGCTTTCCTGGGTGCTTCTGAGAACAGGCCTCCCTGACGATATTTGACACCTTCAGCCCTCTGCGTGCCCCTGTTCTCGTTGTCCCTGTGGGGCCTGCGGGTCAGGAGGGGTTCTCCATGAGCCCCACATTAGGACTAATGAAGCCATGTGTCTCTCCCCTCTGGCAGCCATTCTGTCAAATAAATACTTCCTCAAATATCTTGGGAAGGTGAGATTAGGTATCTTTCTCCTCACATGCAGACAATTAATTTAAAAAGCAAAAAAATAAAAAAAACCCAAACGCTGTTGCCTAGAAACAAGAAGAGGTTTTGCAAGAAATGTGGAAAGAAATCAGGGAACTCAGAATCCATAAAAGCAGCAGCTGTGACACTGAGTTCAGCCTAGGAAGCATCTGGGCTGATGCCACCTTGCGGAACCTACTCAACCCGCACTTCCCAGTTCCAGTGCTGCCGCCTCCCAGAAGCCTCCTCTGCTTGCCTTTGCTCGGACATGTTGCCCACCCAGTGCCTCTTCCCAGCTCCACCCTGCCCCCTCTCACCATTGCGATGTTCCGATGATCCAATGATCCGCTATCTGCCATCCGCCAATCACCTGTCTCCCCGCCCAGGCCTCGAGGTCCATGAGAACAGGACCAGCCTTTGTTGGGCTTCGTGCCCTCAGAGCCAGCTCAGGGCCTGGCACGGGGTGGGTGCTCAATGCACAGTGCCTGGGATTGCCGCTGCTCCTAATCATTGTCACATTAATGAGAGGGATAATCGGCGCCGGAGCAAATGAATGGTGTGGTGTTTCCCACCTTCCACCTCACTTCTCCCAGGCAGGGCCCTGGGTGCTGCCGTGAGCGGGGCCTCATTAAGCTGTGGTTAATTATGCAGAGTAGAGTCTTTTGTCACATGCAAATTGGAGGGTTAACCTGATGCGTTAAAGAGGCTAACGGGGACGGGGGTACGAGAAGAGCGAGCGTTGGCATGGCACGGGCATCACTGGCTTGGAGCGGGCAGGTGGGGAGGCTGCTGGTCCGCCTTCCCCTGGCGCTCCTGGCTTGCAGAGTCTGGGATGCCTAGCCTCCGCCTGAGGCCTCGGATCTGCCCAAGAAGCGCCTCGTGGCCCCTGAGGGGCCGTCAGGGAGCCAGTGCTGCAGCCACCCGAGACTGTTAATCAGCAGACGTGGGGCTTCACATGCCAACCCTCCGCCTCCGTGGAGGAATATTTGTGAGCGGTTGCACCAGGGAAGTTTGAATTGCCAAATGGGCCGCATCGCCTTGGCCTTCGTGGTAATTGCTGGCAGAAACTTCTCCCTCATTTATACACATTTAAAGCTCAGCTCTAGGGGGTAAAAATAGGGCACAAATTTCTTATCTGCCACCAAAGCGGCGTGGCGGGTGGTTAAGAATACAGCTCTGCAGCCAGACCACCTGGGGCATTCCTCAGCCCTTGGCTAGCTGGCTGGATGACCTACAGAAGGTGCTATCACCACTCCATGCCTCAGTTTACCCATATAAACATTGAGGGTAACAATAGCACCTGCTTTGTAATTGCACTGGACTAAGGCAAGAGAAGCAGTTAGAACAGAGCCCGTGTTAGGGGTTTCTTTGTTCTTTTTTGATGCATGATGTTCATGGGAGGAGAGCGATTGGCGGGGCGGGTCTTAGGTTTTAACTCAGACAGCCAAGCTCAGAGCTCACCACAGAGGTGCCTCAGACCTGCTCCTGACCCCTCAGACCCGAATATCCACTGTTGCATCACAAATGGGAGGCCCAGACCAGATGCTGCCCAGAGATCCATTCTGTTTTCGGCCTCAGAGCTGCACCCCCCAACAACCATCGGCCAGAGTCGTGTGGCCCAGTGGGGCCAGTGTTCTCCAGTTAGCCGCAGTCTCCACCACTCCCGGGCCTTTCCCTCATTTGTATTCTCTGTCTGGCCCTGTGAGTGTTGAGACGTTCCCCCGACCTAGCTGAAGAGATGAAGGAAGAAGCAAACAGTCCTGGGCCATGTGGTCCGTGCACGCTGGAAGGAGGCCCAGGGGTCTGTGGAAGCACAGAGGGGAAGCTTAATTCTAAGTATGTCCCCATTGCAGAGTCACAGGAGGCTGTCCAGGCTTCGTTCTGGCTTCTTAACCCAACCCACTGTCCTGGCATTAGACCCACCCCCCACCTGGTCCTTCCTAGCTTGTTACATTTTCATTTCCCCTGTGCCTCATTGTACCCCCTAAGGACCCTCGTTGTAATATAAAGATGATCTTGACAGATCCCAAATCTCCCCGAATCTGTAGCTGGACTCCCCTCCCTCCTCTGCCAGACACCTCCTATCCCTCCTAGAGAACCTCCCCGATAACGTTGACCAGCTGAGCTCACACCTCCCAGGACTTCACCGAACGTCAGCATCTCGGATTTGTACCTGCAGATCCAGCCCACAGTATCCTTCGCCCACAAAGACGGGCTATGCCACTCCTGTGCGCCACATCCTGGGCTGGAAACTGGGACCCAGCTCTGCACAAGCCTTCCAGAGTTCTTCCCCTTTGCAGCTCACACCCCACACAGTCCAACCTACATTTCTCAGGGACCTACTGTGCACCAGGCCCTGTGCAGAGGGCTGGAGACATAAAGAAGACTAGTGTGGGGCCTTCTCAGTGGGCGCTTAGAGCTGATAGAACAGCTTATGGGGGGGCACTTTTTTGAAAATTAGGAGTCCATAAAAGTTGCTTTAGAGGCCCAAAGAATGAGGCTGTCAGGGAGGGCTTCTTGGAGGAGGTGACATTTGATCTAAGCTTTGAAGGAGCTTACCTAGTGAAAGGGAACAGCATGTGCAAAGGCACAGAGGTGAGGCTGCCCCATGGTCTGTCCAGGAGGGAGCATCTCAAGGGTGGCTGTGGGAGAGTCAGTGAGGCCAGGAAGGAGGGCAGTGACCCTGACTGGCAGGCTGGAGGGAGCCCAAAGGTCACTTTAAACTATAGGGTGACATGGTTGCATTTGCACATTCAGAGAAAGGTTCCTCTAGAAGATGGCGAGTGGGAGGATAGGAGAGGGGGAGACTGGGGCCAGGCGGGAGGCTATCGTAGCCATCCAGGGAGAGGTGCTGAGCATCCCCACCTCAAGTCTCAGATTTTCTGGGTTGTCTCTGGCCCTGGGGAGTGGGGAAGCGAGGGCTGAAATGAGACAAACCATCCACAATTCTAGCAGCCCCCAGAGGACAGGCTCTTGGGGGGTGCCCAGGTGGGAGGGTGCAACGTCCGGACCAGGGGAAGCAAACTCCTGGCCGACGGTTGCTGCAGAGAAAGGGGCCCGCCCCAGGCCAGCCGGCCGACCTCCCTCCCCCGCGTCCACATGTCTGTCCTGCCACCCGCAGGGCGGCATGTACATCTTCCAGCTCTTTGACTCCTACGCCGCCAGTGGGATGTGCCTTCTCTTTGTGGCCATCTTCGAGTGCGTCTGCATCGGCTGGGTGTATGGTGAGTACGGGCCGGGCCCATCCGCGCCCCTGCTGCCCGCCCGGTGCCCAGGAACAGGCATCCAGGGCTTCGGTGGGCTCTGGTTCTCTGGGGCTTCTCTTTGCCCGTGTCGGCCTCCTCCTCCTCCTCTTCAAGGACTCCTTGGCTCTGCCACTGTCAGACCCACAGCGCGGGGAGGTGCTGGGGCTCGGGCGATGTGACCTTGGGCTCTGCCCCGAGGCTCGGTTTCCCCCTGTAAAATGGAGTCGTCATCACCACGTTTCCAAGTAGGAGATAACGTAGGCAAAGCCGCCAGCGTGGTGCCTGCCCCCGACAGACACCACCCCGTGGTCCTCCAGTCCCCAAACTGAACTTGTGGGTGAGGCTTGCTGGGCTCGGTGGGTGCTCCTGCCTGGAGTAGAGCTCGGGACAGCCCTGCAGGCCACTCTGCTCTAGGCAGCCTGCCAGGCCCCCGTCCCTGCCTCTCCGGAGGGGTCTGCTCTGCCGTTCTCCCAGAGTCTCCTCATCTCCTGGGCCCAACTGCCCAGTGTGGGGCCAGACTCCCTCCTACTGCAGTTTACTCCGAAACCTCACATACGTAGCGACTTGGTCGTTTTTTAAGCCAAATAAGGTTCCTGCTGCCATTTTTCTGTCTCCAGCTGGGGGAAGCAAACACTCTTAGCCCTTCCCCTGGGTCACGTCATAAATTCTTCATGTGTGCGACCATCTGATTTATTCTGCACAGGAAGCAACCGGTTCTATGACAACATCGAAGACATGATTGGCTACCGGCCTTTGTCGCTCATTAAGTGGTGCTGGAAGGTCGTGACCCCCGGGATCTGCGCGGTAAGGACCCCCCAGGACTCCCCTCCAGCCATCCATCTGGCCACTTTTCCACTCCATAGCCCCCAGCCCTGCCAAGGCTGATGTCCCCGTGGGTCCTCACAAAGCTAGAGCTGTGGGGACAGGCCCCGGGCCTAACGAAGGCAGAGTCTGCCTGGAATCCCAGCCCTGCCACGGTTTGCTCTGTGACCACGAGCAAGTCGCTGCTCTTCTCAGGGCCTCAGATTCTGTGTGCACAGACCGGTCACTGGGACCCGCTCGGCTGGCATTCTGTGAGCAGCAACGTTTTGCTTCGTTGTTAACTGCAAAGGCAGCAGAGCTGGGGGGCCCATCGGGGCACCAACTCTGCCCTTGAGACCAGACCACAGAGGAGGCTTTGTGAGCAGGTGTTTAATTAGAAAAAAACAAAAAAACAGCCCATCACTCTTTACCCACTTCTTGGCCCTTGAAGTATCTCGGAAGTTCTTCACAGACCACCGTAGTCTGAGCGGCGGCTCTGAGCCAGCCCCGAGTGGTCACTAGGAAGACACGAACATTCCTACTCGGGCAGAGGCTGAAGAAGAGGCTCCTGGGGGTGCGGTGGGGGGACGGGAGGCACCCGCTCTACATGGAAGACATGGTTGGCTACCGGCCATTGTCGCCGGCTTCCAGGACCCCAGGAGTCTGGGGCCCGCCGTCAGCTCCCTGGGTGTCTGGCGCTGTGGGGCGGGACCGGGTGGTTCTGCCTCAAACTCGCTGTGGCCCCGGGACAGGGCCTCGCCTCTCCAAGGCTGTCGGAGGGGGTGACCTGCTGGCCTCCCACAGCCCCGAGCCTGGACACCGGCCCATCCCCAGGGACCTCTCTTCCGCCTCTCCACAGGGCATCTTCATCTTCTTCCTGGTCAAGTACAAGCCGCTCAAGTACAACAACGTGTACACCTACCCGGCCTGGGGCTACGGCATCGGCTGGCTCATGGCCCTGTCCTCCATGCTCTGCATCCCGCTCTGGATCTTCCTCCAGCTGTGGAAGACGGAAGGGGCGCTGCCCGAGGTGAGGCAGCCAGGAGGAGGGGCCGGCTCTATCCGGGAGGGCCGGCGGGTGTGGGCACGTCCCAGTCTCAGCTTCCTCATCTGAACAACCAGCGTGATGAAAACGTGCCCCCACCTGCCCCGAGGGGAGCTGTGGCAGGCCCCTCCCGGTGGTTGTGCTGCAGGTGTCTCTGTGGGCCTGGGGGCTGAATTGCTAGGATCTCAGCCTCAGTTTCCCTGCCTGTAAAATGGAATAACAGCAATACCTAAGTTTTAGAGGTTGTGAGAACTCAGCAAGTTCACGTAGGCACAGCACTTAGACCAGGAGCTGCCCCAGAGGGTACCAAGCGTCAACCCTTGCTGTTCCGCAAATCCTGGCCATCTGACATTTGGGAGCACCATCCTGTGTCGTCGCCGCGATGGGCTCTCTACCTGCTGTGTCTCCTGTAGTCCTCACAGCAAGCGAGGCTAATAGGCATCATTTTCTGCATTTAACTGGCGAGGGAAACAGGCTCAGAAAAATGAAGTCACTTGCGAAAAGTCGATCATACAGCCAAAAGTTAGCAGACCAAGTTTTTAAAAATAATTTAATCAAAGTTTGTTTTAGATAACATAAAATTTTCCCATTTCAGGAGTACAATTAAATAATTTTTTGTAATTTTCCCCATAGTGCAATCATCACCATAAGTCAGTTTCAGAATAGTGTTATCTCCCCAGTAAGACCCCTGGAGCCCAGGGAATAGTTAACCCTGTTCCCATCCCAGACAATTACTAATCTCTCTGTCACTGTGGATTTGCCTATTCTGGACATCTGGACATTTCATACCAATGGAGTCGTGCAGGATGTGGTCTCTTCTCAGCACGGTGAACGTTAACCCAAGCCCACCTCGCTGCAGAGCGCACGCTCTCTATCTGACCCCCCGGTGGTCAGATGCTTGAGGGGTGTTTCAGCGGAGTGTTTGCTGTGCGCCAGACACTCTTCTAAGCAGCTTACAAATACTAAGTCATTTAATCCTCATGGCAATCTTGTGAGGTGGAGACTCTCTTTGTCTCCACAAGGGAGGAAACTGAAGCACAAAGAAGTGAAGCAACTTGCCCAAGGGCACACAGCCTCTGAATGGGAAATCAGAGACTCTGGAGTCTGTGGTCTTGTCCCTGGAGCCTCACTGCCTCAGCTTCCTTTGCTGGGCTGGCTGCCCTCCTCTGTGGGGCCTTGTCTCTGCCCCAGCGCCACACCCCAGGGATTGCAGGAGTTGACCTTGGCCTCCCAGGCCAAGGCCAGAGGGAGACGGGAGTGCGTCTGCACAGGGCCAGAATGCAAGTTCCAGCCCAGAGTCAGCTGCACCCAGCCCCCTGCCCATCGAGGGGCCTGGCTCTGGAAGAGCCGTGCCTCTGGCCAGAAGGAGCCAGCCAGGAGGGAAGGTCCCTTCCTCCCTGCTCGTGCCCCAGGGCAAGTCAGGCTCCCTGGTGCCTGTAGGGAGTTTGGCCAAGGGCAGCTGGCTGGTTCTGATTCCAGCCACACATGTCCAGGGCGGAGCTGACCCCGGGCATTTGAACCTCCACTACTGGAAGGCCCCTGTCTGAACTTCCAGGTGGCTTTTTGGTGTTCAGAAATGCCCGGTGTCTCCTGGTAAATCCAGGAGATGATCTCAGACCTGGTGTGGGAGAGAGGGGAGGGACTATTTTCCTAGGTCCCCTCCATGTCCCTAAGGGCACGCCTGCTGACTCAGACAGCAGGGCTTCTCACAGGGAGCAAGTTCCTTGGCGGGGTCAGCCCAGTTTCCAAGCCTTCCTTCCCAAAAGACCTTGTGCTGGTTTGTTCCCCTCCCTGAGCCTCAGTTCCCACAAAGGTCCCGCTGACGGACAGGAGGGATCTGGAGGGTGGGAGCGTTGTTCTGGGGACATGCGCAACAGGAGATAACATGTTAGTGTAGTGCATGAGAACCCTGGAAGGCAGGTACCGTTGCTGTCCCCCTTTTATAGATGAGGAGACGGAGGCACAGAGGGGTCGGGTTTCTGGCCCGCGGTGCCAGGCACTCAGCAGGCGACAATAAGTCAGCGCAGGTGAATCCACCTATTAATCCCCCCGGGATTAGGGTTCAATCAGTGTAGGTTCAGCCCCTCAGGCATGGCAGGATCCGAGAGAGAAAACAGACCTTGATCATGAGAAATGAGCCACTCCAAGGTCTTTGCGGCCCTCCTGGGGAAAGGGTTTATGGCCAAAGAGGGTCTCCCAAATCCTGGCCCAGAGTCTTCTCCTGGGGGGTCCTGGGGAGTCCAGATGAAGCTGAGCTACAGGGGCCCCATTTGGTCTGAGAGGCAGGGCGAGGTGGCAGAAGCCCGGGCAGGAGTCTCCGTGTGGGTCTGCAGCCTCGCCCGGCTCGGCGCGGGCGCTTTGCAAGGCGGCTGAGGCCGTGCCCGTTGGGTTTGGTGCTCACGATCCTGCCCTTGAGCACAGTGTGGGGAGCACCCCACACCCGCTACACATTCCCCTGCACGGTGGCACCCCTTTTGTGCAGAATGCACCCATTTATCCAGCAATCGTCCTACAGACAGCCCTAGAGGTGCCTTACCACTCACCCCACAGTGGCCCTTCCGGGCAGGCACTGTCATCCCATTCCACAGATGAGGACAGTGCAGTGAGTGGCCAAGCAGTGATCCAAACCCCAGCTTCTAGGTGTTCAGCAGAGGAAAGGGGACGTGGCCATGGATGGCCCTGATGACAGCTCTGGGTCCCAGGCACCTTCCATAGGCCAGGTGGGAGGTTAGGTACTTCCACGTGCCGTCTCCTTACTCCTCACCTAACGCCAGGAGCAGGGACCTGCACTGTCCCCACTTTCCAGAGGAGGAAGCTGAGACCCAGGGAGGTCATTCATCGTCCAGGACGGGGCTGTAAGTGGCAGGGCTGGGGCCCCGACCTCCGTCTCGCGATCCCACAGCACCAAGCCTTCCCCTCGTGCAGCTGGCAGAGGCCGAGGCCGACCCCAGCACCCTGGCAGCTAATCTCAGACGGCTCTTCTCCCCTCCAACCATCTAGAAATTCCGGAAGTTGACGATTCCCAGCGCTGATCTGAAAATGCGGGGCAAGCTTGGGACAGGCCCACGGACGGTGACGGTTAATGACTGTGACGCCAAACTCAAGGGCGACGGGGCCATCGCCACCATCACAGAGAAGGAGACGCACTTCTGAGCAGCCGCCTGCCACCGGGTTCCTCTCCCTCCTCCCCCGTGTGTACATGAGTACCTGAAACACGTGCTTCTCCTAATGGTAGGGCTTGCTCCTTTGCACACGATTTATTAACACGTTAATTTTCAGGTGGCCACCGCAGACTCTGGTTTAAAGTCACATCCTCTCCTCGCCCCGGTCATCGTGGAAATAACCACTGCGAAGAGATAATACTGTACAGCAGCTAGCGAAATTTTCTCGTCCTAGGGCAGTTTTAATCAATGTTTTCTAGGGGTTAGGAAAAAGTGTATAATACTGTAAAACTTTTATACTTGGGTTGTGGGGCAGGTGGGGTGGGGAGCGGTGCCTGTCCTCCTCTGTCAGCCCTTTAACCAAGCGTTCCACGTCCCTGTCTCTGACCACGGGCAGCCGCCCCTCCTCCGTGCCCCCAGGGAGAGCTCGTCCTAAACCTTCGCTTTTCCAAGGGCAGTGGGTTTGCAGACAGCAAGGTCAAGGCTGTGGGGCAGAGAAGAAAGGTCCCATCAGACTCAGGACTCCTGGGTTGGAGTCCCCCTGCCCCCCACCGCCACCACCCTGATCCCACTAAGTGACCTTGGGCACTCCCTTCCCCTCTCTGTGCCTCAGTTTCCCTACATCCCAATTTAGAGGAGGGGCTGGATTGGATGTTCCCATAAGGACTCTCTTTACATGCCTTGCTGGCTCCAGGACCTGCCTTTGGTCTTGGCCTCTTCTGGAGATTTGTAGGCAATAATCTCAGCCCTCCCTGCTCCCCTTTCCACCTGCTTATTTAAAATCAAGATTATCGTGGAAATGAAATGATAGGGATGTGTGTTTTCCCCCAAAGCCCTAGTTTTATCTCATCGGGAGCAGCCCGGCTCTCTGGTGCCCAGTGGGTCCTCAGCCCCCATGGCCTGGCCTGCCTCCTGTCCCTGTCCTCTGCTCTCACCCCCAGTTCTGTCTCCCCACCTCAGCAGGGCTAGTTTTCTGGGTCAGGAGGTGCCGTCTACTCTTGCAGCTGCCTGGAGGGGGTCTACGTCTTAGTCCCTTCCTCCAGGGAGCTACAGTGGAGCCTGACACTTGGTGTCCTCCCAAGGCCTTTCGCTGTCCCTGGCCACCTCTTCTCCCTCCCGCTGTCCCCTCGGCTCCCCCACCATCCTGCCTCTCAGATCCTTCCCCATCCCACCTGCCTATGTCGCCAGGGGACTGGGTGAGAAGCCCCCACTCTTGCCGGAGGGAGAGCGGGGCATCGGAGTCTGCGGGAGGGCTGGTGTTGCTCCCTCCCACCTGGCCGCAGACTCTTTGGCCCATACCACTCTGCTTTCTGATTGGACTTTGCATCAGGCCTCTGCCTTGGTGTCTGAGCTCCTAGGGGTGGGGAAGACGCATGCTTTTTTCCTTTTCCTGTGTGTTCTCGATCTGATTTGCTGGAAATCTAGCTTCTTCCAGACCCAGGCAGGGGACCCATGTGGTTTTTTTTCACCCACAAATTTGCAAACACCCAGTGTCTCCACTCTGGCCAGCCCCGCTCTGAAGCCCAAGTTTGCTAAGAGGGATGCCCAGTGCCCCTCTGGGCAGCGGGGGACACCAGGTCTAGCCGCCCCCCACCCTGTGCACACAGCTCAGGCCTCCCTGGCTTCTGACAGACAGACCGCCGTCCCCCTCTCGTCTCGCTGAGCTGTCTGGCCCGAGCTGGGCGCCCTGCACACGTGGTCCTCAGCTGCTCTCCGCAGCGAGCCGCTGGAGGAAGCCTCCCCACCACAGCCACTGCTGCTCTCCACCACCAGCTCTTTCTGAGGACAGATCGCTGTGTCGCGCAGCATTCATATGGCGCTAACACTTGACTCACGTAACGCTACTCATGGGGCAGGGCAGAGGGCTGATTGTTGTTTTTTGTTTTTTGTAATTTCCTACTAGTATATGGGTAACTCTGGGGGTGGGGAGGGCACCGTGGGGCAGGGGAACACATCATCGTGATGACTTTTTTGATATTCATTAGAAACAATACATCCTTTCTGGGATATATACGGTATTATTAAAAAATGAAAAAGGTTATTGGGTATTCAAAGGGCACGAGATTGTTTGCTTACTCATTTTTAAAAATTAAAGAAATGAACAAACTGTCATGTGGCTGTCCCCAGCAGGGTGCTGTTCGTTGGATTTTTCTTTCTGGTTTTTGTTACCTCCATGATATGCCCGCAAAGCCACCTGAGTTCGGCGTTTGGGGGTTGCAGTCTCAACTCAGTGTGGCCCGTTGGAAACAAAGTAAAAAGCAGTGGTGTTTCAGGAGCCCAGGCTTGCTTCTGTTCATGTGTTCACGCTTCGCCTAGTCTGTGCTAGATGCTTTACTAAAGTGATCTCTTTAATCCTCACAACAACTGGTAAAGTAGATACTTTTCCACGTTGTGTATGTATTGCTTGATTTATTTATTACTTCCCCTCACTGAGACACAGAGAAGTCAAGCAATATGCCTGCAGTTACACAGCTAGTCAATAACAGGACCGGATAAAGAACTCAAGTCTGTCTCACTCCAGGCCCCGTGTCTTGATCACTGTGCCTTACTGTTTCTCACGCTGTAAGGCCCAAAGAAAGCAACAGTCACCTCGCAGTGGCAGAAGTAGCTGCCACAGAGCTCACGCACCTGTCCTGGTGGGCAGACCCTCCTGTCCGGGGCAGGCCAGGCAGAGTGGAAAGAGATGAGGATTTGCAGTGTGCAGCCCTGCTTCAGGCTCCTGAATCTGCCCCTGCCAGCCTCAGTTTTCTCATCTCTAAAATGGGGATAATGGCTCCCATTTTGGCTGCAGGATAATCATGAAGTTCCTGTGCACTCTCAGCGTGAATGGTAAAGTTATATGTTCACACTGATTTTTATTATCCTCAGTGAACAGTGCCTACGCTCAAAAAGTGTTTGTGGTATTGCTCAGAACTTAGACAAAAATCTTTAAATTTGTGTCTGAGATTTCCAAATGGCAACTTGAGACCACCAGTGTGTTTTATCTTGCTAGCCCATGGTACAGGAAGATCGTTTTACACGCTGTCTACTCATTCCTCTCGGGTCAACTTTTTTGCTTAAAATCCCCAATCTTGGTTCTACCTGAACCTGTCTTAGAGTCTTACTCTCTCTGAGGTGGTAATAGCTGCTCACAGGGAAAGCATACCACAGAGTTCTGGAATTCAGAACACCTCTGTGATCCACAGAAGCCCCTGAGTACTTCATAACTTCACAGAGCCACAGACATTGGTGCAGTCACCTGTCACTTGTCCCCTGACACCTTCCTTCCTCATGTCTGAAAGTGCATTGTTAAGTAGCTGCAGTTGCAAGACAAGGATGGGCTGGGTCATGGAAATGTGGCTGTCACTCATTCCCAGGGAACCCGTTTTGCAGATGCTTGTTCCTACAGAGTTAATAGTATCAGGAATTAATTTACCCAGTAGACCCTGCAGGCTGCAGTGTGCGCCAGTGACCCCGGCTGGCCAAGTGCGATTCTGCAGCCTGGCTCTATCAGACACTACAAAAAACCAGAGAAGGGGAGGGGAGCTTTGGAAGTGAAGTCAAGGGCTACCTCAGGCCTAAGAGATTTTCCTGTGGGATGGGGGAGGAGATCAGGCACCGAAGAGCAGACACAGACATTTTCTGCTGAGTATACAAACTTTGGAAAATTGGGTCCTTTCATGCATTTAGCAGGTCTTTACTGACATTACTGACCTTACTGACCTGTTGACCTTACTGACCTAATAATGTTCGTTGCTTGGACCTAAGACTAGGGCTATTAAGACAAGTGGAGCAGCCCCTTCCCTTGAGTGCTCCTGCTCGTCTTAGTCAGGAGGAGAGGTGTCCACACCACTCTGGACAGGGGTAAGTTCATGGAGAGAAGCTGTTCTGACTTCCTGTTCTCAGCCTTCTCCAGCCAGTTGGAGTTCTGCAGTGTGGCACTGGGCAAGTCTGCCCACTTCCACGGGCCTTGGCTCAGCCACTGGAACAATGGTGAAGAAATGAGGCCCAGCGCAGGAACTTAGCTGGCCCAAGATTCCGCCAGAACTCCTCTGTACTCCCTTCTCATAACCAGTCCCTGCACCGTCTCAGGCAGTGAGATGTTAAAAAGCAAATGAGCTTGGGCACCTCATTACCCATCGGGAGAAGAGTCCGTCTTTGTTGCCAACTCTGGCAACTTCTCTGTCTCTGACTTCTAAGTAAGGTCCCCTGTGGGGGCTGCTGGGAGGAAGAACACTGGCACCACTCAGAGCTTCCAGGTGCACTGAGGTGTCAGAGCCACTCCACCGGAAACCACAGGGCAGAATGTGCCAAGGCCCGAGTGTCCAGGGAGTGCCCAAGGTAGGACTCACACTGTTCACTGAGCTCCTGCTAGGTCCGGCGTCATGCCTGCATTGCTCATCAGCGCCTCACAACAGATCTAAGAGGTAAGTGTTGTTAATCCCGTTTTTCATATGAGGAAACTTAAGATCTGTAACTAGTTTGCCCAAAGAGATGCAAGATATGCCCCCTGGCAGGGGGAGGAGCTGGGCTGATATCGAGGTTTGCTGGTCTTTGGAGCCCGAGTACCCAGCACTTAACGACAGGGGTGGGACTCGAGCTGCGCCTTGAGGGATGGAGGCTCAGACTGGGAGGCGAGTTTGAGACGAGGCAACAGCCTGCGCAATGACAGAAGCAGGCAGACATCTTTGGGGGAATGGGGCAGAAACCAGAGTCCTCCCTGTGCCTGGTCTACTTTTTATAAGCAGCTGTGAGGCTGGGGTGACCCCTCTTTGATCCCTCTGGCAGAGGAGTGTCAGGTGACACCAGCTCATCAGGGGTGGCACCTGGTGCAGGTCCTTCCACAAAGCAGGGGCCCAGTGGACAAGTGCCCGGCTTCTGTCAGAGTGGGGAGCAGGGAGGAAAGGGATAAACAGGCATTGAAGGCCCGCTCAGCGCTGGAAACCATACTGGCCCCTGTCGTATGTGTCGGCTTGCCCTTGGCCACCATGTGGGTTGGCATGGTGTTCACATTCTACCAAGGAGGAAGCAGGTTCAGAGAGGTAGAGTCCACTACCCAAGGTCACAGAGCTGGGGTAACAGCCCCAGGTGTGCTTGGCTCCAAGGCCCAAGCACTTTCTGCAGACACCTGTATTAGTCAGGCTTCTCCAGAGAAACAGCCGCCAGGATATCAGTGCAGATGCACAGGAAGAGATTCCTTGGGAGGGACTGCTCGTGCGCTTATGGAGGCCGAGAGGTCCTGTGATCTGCCTTCTTCGAGCTGGAGGCCCAGGAAGCCGGGCTGTGGCTCCTGTCCGAGCCTGACGGCCTGAGAACCAGAGTGCAGGTGTCTGAGGGCAGGAGGAGATGGGTGTCCTAGCCCGGGCCTTTTTGTTCTGTTCAGGTCCGCAAGGGATGGGCGATGCCCACCAGCAGTCTGCCCACCCACATGCTAATCTCTTCCGGAAGCAATGTTTTACCAGCCGTCTGGGCACCCCTCGGCCTAGTCCAGTGGACACAAAATAACTGTCACAGCACTGTTGGGAGCCACGGAGTGTCCCCATGGCCATTAGCACTGACAGGTCGTGCAAGGCTATGGAAAAGCTACAGATGGTGGCAGAGCCCATGTGGGGAAAGTCTGAGGGTCTTCAGGGGCCTTGAAATGCCTTAGTGACACTAGGGACCTCTGGAAGCCTCTGTAGTTCCTCAGAAATGTTAGAAGTCCACTGGGTTCACCGAGAGGGACAAGAGGACGTGGGGCCAGGGAGAGGCCTTGAGAGTGGAGGGAACGCAGGGCCCTCGGAGACCTGAGAGAGGTGCTGGGGGCCCCACGGGTCCAGTAGAATTATACAGAGCCATCTGGGAGTGATGAGGGGCTGAGAGTGACACAGGGTATGGGAGTCGTAGGGGGCTACGAACAAAAGTGGGGATGATTGGGGAGCATTTAAGAGATACTGAGAGCCATCAGGAGTCATAAAAGTATCAAGGCCTTTGGTCATTGCTGGGGGGCCTTTGGGGGTCTCCTTGTGGGAACCATGCAGCCTTGAGGAAAGGGGAGGGGAGCTCAGAAATGCCCTCAGAGGTGGGGCAGACACAGTGGAGGGATTTAGTGTGAGTGAAGAGGGTGGCGCCCGCCTGGAGTGACAGAAAGGCCTGGCCAGAGCTGCAGACCCCAAGAGGCAGTTACAGGTATGGCCTGGCCCAGGGACACCACGACCTTGACCTGCCTAGGCCGGTGCAGGCCCAGGCTTTCCGGACACGCCCCACCTGGGTCTGGCAAACACGTGGCTTTTCTTATTCTCCTGGGAATTTTCTCTGCCTCCCTTTGAGTCTCTTTCCAAAGCCAGCCATTCCCGGAGTGACAAGGCTCTCGCAGACCAGTCTGGGCAGGAGCTAGGCCCCGCCAGAGGTGCGGGATTTCAGGGAAACCCGGCAGAGCAATCCGGGCCTGATCCCTGGGAGACCCCGGTCAGGCGGTGGAGAGAAGGGACCGAGGAAACTGTAGCGTGCAGGCAAGTATCATTTACTGAGCACCTGCCGTTACCTGGGATAAGGTCAGGTATTTTCCATACGCCTCAAAACAACCTGCAACCGCGATTTATTCCCATTTTACACACGTGCAAACGGGCCCAAAGAGGTAAGTGGAGGAGCTTGCCCAGCGTCACACAGGCTGGAGATGGAATTCGAAGCCAGGGGTACCAAACCCAGAGTCCTTGGCTTTTTTCTCTAAACGGGCAGCTCCTGCTTGGCCCCGGTCACCAGCAGAGACGAATGAGCGCTGGGCTTTGCTGCCCTGCCCGTCTCCCCCGCCCCAGGGTCCGGGGCGCAGACAGGCAGGTGGCAGCAAGTCCGCCACCAGGTGGCGCTGCTGCCAAGCCCAAGCCCCCTCCCTGTGGTCCAGGCTCAGGCCAGTGAGAGACTAGAGGGTCCAAAGGCCCGCCCTGGGTGCCTGGATAGGGACAGAAAGGCTGCCCTTGACAAAAAGGCACAAGCCATCCTTCTCACCCACCCCGTCCCTAGCTGTGTTTGCAGCACCACCCCAACAGCCAGACGTACCAGTGTTCAGTTTTTACTCT